TGGTAGTATCATCAGCATAAATTCCTACTTGGGAATTGATGACATCAGAAAGATCATTGATGAAGATAAGAAACAGCGTAGGGCCCAGGATAGGGCCTTGGGAGACAACTGTGTTCGTGTAAAAGGATCTGGAAGCGAGCTCTTTCAGAATGCCCTTCATTTCACAACTTGATAGGAATGATTTGATTAAATCAAACAATCGTCCTGTAAGCCTACGTGGAAAACCAGCATGCCAAACCCTGTCAAACGTCTTTGAGATATCTAGTGTCACAGCACGAGGTTCGCCATCATTATGATGTGCTTGATATACATAATCAGTGATGGTGTTAAGCACGTCAGAGGTATACCAGGCAAAAAGGAATCCATATCGTTTGCCAGAGAGGTCGTGGGAGGTAAGATGTTTAACGATTTCTGTATTGATTAAAGCCTCGAATACTATACCAAAAAGCGACAGGAGACTAATAGGGCAATAGTTAAAGGGGTCAGAAGGTTCGGTTTTATCACGTAATGTTTGGGAGTTTTATAAAGAGGGACAAGAATTTACCCAAGCTTTGTCGGTGAAAATAGTGAAAACAGCCAGGAATCTGTCTCCAGACACCGACTTATAAGTTTCACGACAACTGCGATCATCAGCTGATTACTCTTTTCTAATTTAATGTTATTTCTCTCTCTCTCTGTCCCTCTCACATATATATATATATATATATATATATATATATATATATATATATATATATATATCTTACTTATTATAAAACGCAGGTTGTGTGTGTGTGTGTGTGTGTGTGTGTGTGTGTGTGTGTGTTTCTGTAACGTTTATATGTTGGATCGAATTTCCTACATTTTTTTAGCCGATTTCAACAAAACTTCACAGGACTACATAAAATTACCTTGTGGTGGTTCTAACAGGGCCGAAAATGGGAAAAATACAGTTGTTTTTTAATAAAATCAATTTGAAAACACGATTAAGACACATCGTGAGAATGAAAGGGGAGAACTCACCCACGAAAATGTAAACAAAAGAGCATAGCATGATGAAAAAAGACGCCGAACTTGACGAAAAACAAAAATTTTATCGTCTAATGTTCATATTATTATTAAAGAGGAAAGATCAAAGTATTTGGGGGTATTTTTTACATTTTTAATCGTTCCTAGCACGTCTGAAATTTTCGTTAAAAATATTTTTTTTTTTAAAAAAAGGGCAGATAATCATTTTCAATCATTTTTCGATTTGATAAAAAGATTAAAATCTTACTTTGAAATTCTTTTAAAAGTCAATTATCATTTTTTCAAAACTGATTTTAATAAAAACAGATATTATACTGTTTATTTAAAATATTTTGAACCAAGCTTAACTTAGCTTCTGCGCCGAAAAAATGTAATTTGAAAATAAAACAAAGCAGGTCATAACCTTTCGCGTCGCTTGACGATTGACGAAAGGCACATTCATGACGTTTAGATAACTTACGGGAGGAGAATTCTTTCTACGGATGGAAGGAAGTGAAATTATTTAAGTGAACAAATTATTTACCTTGTTACTTTTAAGGAAAACTTTCAGCGCTCTAATTTTTTATTTTTTATTTTTTTTTTTTTTTGTACTTAGCTTTCATTTTTACGTTTACGATGCTTTATGGAAAATATAAAGAAATTAAAAAAATAAGACTCTTAATAGTGAGATTAAATTTCATTAGAAAAAGGTATCTAATTAATTTAGGTACCTTTCTTATGAAATTTTATCAGAAGTGTACATAAAATACTATAATTTTATGTACATTTATTACATTTTACTGTGTTATTTGTATTTCCATTCATTTTATTATTAATTTTGATATTTCATTTATGGAAAAATGTCATAACTGAGATTAATATAAAAATAAGATCATATAAATTAAAGTTTAGCAATAGTTAAATTTCATAAGATGATACTGTTACTTGTAGGTACCCTTCTCAGTTGAAATTGAAAACTCAAATTAACTTCTCCATACGTGTTTCGCAAAAGTAAAAGGGCTTAACAGCGGAGAACAATGCTGAACTCAAATAATGCAACTAAATTGTATTCTGGTTGGTCTTCCGTACTTGATAATTACTGTCCGACTATAAACAGAAAAATTACATTTCTTAATTACCATGGCTAATCTGATTGGTCCAAATTATACAATTTTCAAAGCGCTAGACAATGACAATCTCACACGGACATTTTGAAAGGTTGATGTTGCTTTTAACTAATGTTAAAATATTTTTTAAAATTCAATTTAAACATTTTTAAAAAAATCTTTTTAAAATTAAAGAAATAAGAAATAATTGTATTAAAAATTCAATTTTCATTGAAAAATTTTTTGCTTTCAGAAAATATTGTCCATATTCATAAAAAACAAATTAAAACAAATAAAAGCATTTGAAACTAAATAATATATTTGTTTCATTGAGTTTTTGTATGTTACAATTCACAGCTGATTTTCAGGTACGTTGGCCAAAAAAAAAAAAAAAAAACATGATTTGCATTCTTCAAAGCCTTGTGCTTTTTTAACTATTGTAATCACTAAAACCGATGGTCTCGAATTTCTAGAGTTTTTCATAAAATTAGTTATGGGGTGTTAATAAATATAAAAAAAATATTTCTGCCATGACATTAATAAAAAAAAAAATATTTATAATAATTTTGATCATCTGTGAATAGTTTCTGAAAGTTTCATTAACATCTGACAATTATTTTTATTTTTGCAAGATTTTCCAAATTAATGTGTGTAAATACAAAAAAAATGCGCTAAAAAATTATCTATGTTATTTACTACCCTTTGTTGCGACAAAGAGAAACAAGGTTTTTAAATCAAAATTTAGAATATTCTAAAAAGATGGAAAAATTTTAAAAAAAATAATTAAAAAAAAATTTAGTCTATCCTCTTCATAAAAAAATAAGCATTTTGACGATAAAATTTTGTTTTCATAAACTTTGGCGTCTTTTTTCATCAGACTATGCTCTATGTTTTAGCGATTCCGTGGAGTGACTTAGGTTAAAAAACCCAGGTTGTTTGTTTGTTTGTTTGTGTGTGTGTGTGTGTGTGTGTGTGTGTGTGTGTGTGTGTGTGTGTGTGTGTGTGTGTGTGTGTTCCTTTATATATATGGGATCGGATTTCTTACATTTTTCAGCCGATAAAACAAACATCCACTTTATTTTTCGGCAGGTAGTATTTCTTATTGTCTTGCACACTTTTTTCTTTATTTACATTCAGAATGCTTTAAAAATTCCATTTACAAGACAATTGTTTATAATAAAATTCTATTCACCAATCGATAGACTCATAACGATTCTAAACAATGTTTTTGTTTGAATTTGGGTTTGATCAATTCGTAAAAAAAAAAAAAAAAAAAAAAAACTAATTAAGACATGCGTGTCCGTCAACCTTAAACAATAATCTTTGTCAATTTTATTTTTCAGTCTTTATGATGGTCGATAGTTGATCTATCTCTTACTGTTACATCCCCGGGCAACGCCGAGCTCTACTGCTAGTATATATATACGAGGAGAGAATTTTACTGAAACAGCTTTCTTCCAAACAAGATCATTTTGCCTATGATGAATGTGTTGCGCCCTTCTTCAAATTGGTAAAGAACAACTTCCTTCAAAAACAATAATTTAAAACCATGTCTTTACCCTCGGATTTGACGAAGTAGCTGATGTGTCATTGGCGAACTGAAATCTTTTTTCAGCCACTATGCATTTTCGACCAACATCTATCAGTCCTTATGTCTTTCTTCTTCCTTTCTATGCAGAAATTCTCGAGATTTCCTTAAAAAGTGGATTGCGGAAAAAATCTGGCTCGTCAGTCATGTATCGAAAGATACATGATCGCCTACGCGTGTATCCCGCATGGAGCTGACTGGCTGACTGAAGTTGAAATAAATTGGGATATAAAGATTATGCTACGCCATTTCTCCCAACAATCCAGAGTCCTTGTGTCTATTTGCGTTCAGACATTGCCATCTCACAGCAATGTGAAATACGCTAGAATATGAACCACGAAACTAACATATCTACAACTCTACAAAAATACATATATCTACGAATAGATTTTGAACAAATTAGATTGGCGCAATTGTTCCCAGCGAAAAACCGGTTTATGTCTGTGTGTTTAGTTTTTAGTTTTTGAAAAATAACAATTAATGAGCACTGGGAACATTCGCACAAAATTCAAATCAGTCTACATTTTTGTGCTAAGAAAGAATTCAGAGTTCAGTCCCTAGACGAAGTAGTATAAACTTAGTAAAAAACAAAAAAAAACATATCGAGCAATAACTGAGCAGTACTCATCAAGAAGAAGCAGAACTATAGACATGGACAGCAGAACGAAAACAATATACACCCGCAGATTAAAAGATTCAGTCTTTCTTGAAGATTAGCCGGATCGACAGACACCTGATGAATGTCGAAGTATACAATGGCCGAAACGTTGTAATAAAAATAACAAAGACGAATACCTTAGTTCTAATGTAAACAATTTGTTATATTTCGTGCTAAGGAAATAAACACATAACACCAGGTGGATACTAGAAGAAAGGTTTATTGTACACAACAAGTACAATATGAAATACGGTACAGTTATACACACAGGTCAATCTAGTAGCGAGTGTCACTAACTGGAAGGTTGGACGTGCTTGCGTCGTCTCGCTCACTTCTCTCTCTGTCCTCCCCCAGTCTCTCGTAAACAGTGGACTTTATAGGTACTTACTACCTATAGTGTAATCATTCCTGGGGGTGACTGGTTATTCCATCACAATTATAGCTCCTTATTCCATAAACTGAGACAAAAAATAGAGTCTGTTTAGTGAGTTAAATTAAAAATTGGAGCATGTGGTCAGTATTCGATACCCGGATAACGAATGCTGATCTGTAAGGAAACAAAATATCTCAACTGGTTGATCGTCGTAACACGGTCTTTTTACCAATATGTCACGTCGTTTAATCAGGTGACCTAATCAGCCGGGTAAACATCATTGGAGACGAACAGCTGAAAGAAAGACTATAGGGCCTAGTGAAAGGAAAGAAATAAAGTGCTAGAAGAGGAGGAAATATCTGGTAAAAGAATATCTAGAAAGAGAAAACAAAGATAGAGAGGAAGAGGAGAGTGCGTGTGAGAGAGAATGACAGAGAGCGAGAGGAAAAAAAGAAAGCAAAGGAAAGGCAAATAAACTGAAAATGGAAAATACGGAGAAATAAAAGGAGAGAGATAGAGATAGATATAGTGAAAAATATGATAGGAAGAGAGTGAGAATGAGAGATTAATCAAAAACAAGTGCAAAAGTAAGTGAGATAGATAGATAGATAGATAGATAGATAGATAGATAGATAGATAGATAGAAAGCTAGATAGATAGATAGATGGATAGAAAGAAAGAAAGCTAGATAGATAGATAGATAGATAGATAGATACGAAAGAGAGGATATCTACGCGCACACACACACACACACACATATATATATATGCAGAGAAAGAGATGAATAATAGTTATAGATATAAACAAAGATATTAACACAATCAAATCAGGACTAAATAGAAAAGATAGATCGTGGACAGTGGGCGGGAAGTACAAAATAAAGCAGAGAAACTTGAATATCATAAAAAAAGAAAAGAAAAAAAAATGGAAGGTAGATGACGAGGAATTACCTGCAGTAGACTTTTTGCGCAATGTTAACCTGACCAGCACCGCCTACGCGAGTGTTTTTCTTCTCCCTCGCAATTATGAAACGGAGAACTCCATTCTACGTGGGAGACGAGGAAACACCTAACTTCAGCCATACATCATAATTTATTGACGTATATTTAGGTTATTTGCACTCTGATACAATTGCAATGATGATTACAGACCCATAGACAAACAGGTGCAGGCTATTTCGTGTGCACATGTTTAGACGTGTATTTGTTATCATCAGCATCATCATTAATACCGGCTGATACGGCCGCTGCCATCAGAGACGTATTTTCCAATGAAACATTGCTTATCAAATTAACTACCCCCTTCTTTTTCTTTCATCTTTGGATAATCTGTTTTTAGTTTTTATTTCTTTTTTTTTTTTAATTTCTTTCTGGCTTGTTTTGTCTTTTTTCAACCTCCTTTCTTTCTTTCTTTCTTTTTTTCTTTCTTTCCTTCTTTTTTTCTTTCTTTCTTTCTTTGTGGTTTATTTTGTCTTTTCTCTTTTTTTGTTACCTTCTTTCTTTCTTTTTTGCTTACTTGCTTTTTTAGTCTCTATTTTTTTCTTTCCATTTTTTCTTTCTTTCTTCATTTTCTTTCTTTCTTTCTTTCTTTCTTTCTTTCTTTCTTTCTTTCTTTCTTTCGTCGTGGGATGTTTCCTCTATTCTTTTCTTTCTTTACCTTCTTTCTTTATTGATTGCTAGTTTGTTTCGTCTATTTTTCTTTTTTCTTTACTCCCTGTCTACCTTCTTTTTCCTTCTTTATTTCTTTCTTTCGTTGTGGCTTCTTTATCTATTCTCTTTTTTCTTTCTTTCTTTCTTTGTAATTTATTTGTACTTTTTTCTTTCTCCTTTACCTTTTTATATCTTTTGCTCTTTGCTTCTTTCTGTAATGTTCCTTTTCTGGAATCTTTTTCATATGTCTTTCTTCTTTTTTCATTCTCCTTATAACTCATTCCTTTCTTTTCTTCACTTGTTCTTTCACAATTTTGTATACTTCCTTTTTGATGTAATTTTTTCCTCTTTTTTTCTTCATTTTATATACATTGGTTCTTTCCGCTTTCAAATATCGTATCCTTTTCTTTTTTTTATTTTTATAGATTTCTTTTTCTTATTGTTTATTCTTCTTCGTATATTCTTTAGGCTTTTTCCCTTATTTGCTTTCATTCACATACATTCTTATTCTTATTCTTTATTATTCTTATATTATTCTTATTCTTATGTTATTTTTATTCATATTCTTATTTTTATATTATTATTATTATTATTTCTTTATTTGCTTTCATTAAAAAACATTCTTATAACATTTCTTTCTTTTTTTTCCTTCTTTCTGTCTTTTAATTACAAGCAGCGGTTCCTCTAGCGCAAGTCCAGTGAACTAATTTCGTACACTATTTGTAAGCATTGTCAGTTCGATTTTCATCTTGTCATCCACTGCAGTAGCCTTTTGTCAGACTAGCCCGATTCTTAAAAAATAAACATTGTTTGTAGACTTTGTTTCTTTTCTTTATTACCGTTCTCTTCTTTCTTTCTTTCTTTCTTTCTTTCTTTCTTTCTTTCTTTCTTTCATGCAATGTTCAACTTTTCAATTTCGTTTCTGTTTTTCTTGACTGCCTCATTTTCTACGTTGCCTCATTTTCACTCTCACTCTTTCGTTCTCAACTTCATCCACTCCTCTCATTCTTCTCTGTTATTCTCTCTCTCTCTCTTTCTTTCTTATTCACTCTTACAATTCGTCAGTTTTCTCCTTTTCTTTCTTTTTTTCTTTTTCCTTATTTTACATTTTTTTCTTTCCTTCTTGTCCATTCCGTTTACATTCTTTCTTTCTACATTTTTCCTTCTTTTATTCTTTTGTTATTTTTTTAATATCGATTTAGTCTTTATCTTTCTTTACCTCATTCTGTGTTTTGCTCTTTGTACTTTCTTTTTCTTATCTTTGCTTCTTCTAATTTTTCATCTTCTTTCTTTCTTTCTTTCTTTCTTTCTTTCTTTCGTTTTCTTTCTTTCTTTCTTATCAAATACTTTCCCATATTTCTTCATGTTTTCCTTACTTTATTTTTTTGCTTATATCATTCTCCTATGAAGCCGACTTACAAACCCATAGACAAACAGGTGCAGGCTATTTCGTGTGCACATGTTTAGACGTGTATTCTATATATATATATATATATATATATATATATATATTTGTATGTGTGTGTGTGTGTATGTATATTTCTTTCTTTCTTTCTTTTCTTTCTTTCTTTCTTTCTTTTCTTTCTTTCTTTCTTTCTTTCTTTTCTTTTCTTTCTTTCTTTCTTTCTTTCTTTTCTTTCTCTCACACTTGTTCTTTTCTTTCTCTCATTGTTCAGCACTTCGTTCATCGTACTCACACCTTTTTCCCCCTTCTCTTACCACTTGTGGTTAATCGGACACACACTCACACAAACACATGCATATATCCAAGTGCATGTCGCACTCACCGTCTCTCTTTCTTTCCACTTCGTTTTCCAGACCACACGCCTTCTCCTTTCATTTTAACAACGTATATCGCCTCCTTCTTCAACGTGCTTCTTTTTCCTTTTCTTTTCTCACCTGACATTCTCATTTTAATATAAAAAAATATTTCTTATAAAACAAATTTGTACCAGCATATGTGCAAATACGAATGCATTTTCTCTCTCTTTTATATATATATATATATATATATATATATATATATATATATATATATATATATATATATATATATATATATATATCGCTTACAGAAGCACTTGAAAAACACATTTCTACTATTCACATTGAGGGAGGGAAAAAAGCAATATAGTGACGCCATTGAGCATCCATAGAAAACACCGTGAGATTATTTTCTTGTTTAATTAACATCTGTTATCTTTTTCTTCTTTAGACACTTTATATAAATGCGATCACACACAGTCATTCGACATCTATTTTATAACTTTGTCGTTAACTTGTAAATACAATATATATATATATATATATATATATATATATATATATATATATATATATATATATATATATATATATATATTTGTATGTGCGTGTGTGTGTATGTAAAGTGGGAGAGAAAGGGTATGAAATAGAGAGAAAGAGAGAGAAAGAATGAGAACTGTGTCGATTATAACCAGCCTTGAAACAGAATCGACGAGCAGAGTTCGAATTTTACCTTAAGCAGCATGTGTTCATTTTGCACTTTTGCTGTTGAAAAAGGTAAGAATTCAATGCTGGCACTCTGTCGCATTTCCTGATATCTTAAAAAATGTCTGGGTACTTGGCATGCTACGATGAAACAAACTCTCGATTCTCGTAAACCTTATCTTCAAAACTTATATTTGCAGACGTTCTAGCCCGGATATTGATCACTGTTGCCCAGAAATATCAGTCAGTTCTTTATACACATTTAAGCGATCATGTTTTGTTCGATTCATGACTGAATGAAGATTTTATCGCAGTAGGTCGCCATTTCTTCCTGTGATAGACTGGTTGCTAACCAAGGCTATAGGAGCCAGTCTGCCATGCTATTACACCAATAGCGGGTGGCAAAAGAGATCGATTCATACTTTTTCCAAGGGTATTTGCGCTTAAGTGAATGTAAACAACTCGAGTGGAATTCGAACTCGGGTCTCCGACTTATCATTCCGAGCCGTTATCCATTACACCACACCACACAACACCCCACGCCTAAATATAGCATACCTTAAAACAATGTTTTATCATATATAGATGAAAAAGTAACCTTGCTGCTCTGTGATGGTTTCTCTGGCCGAGGGATCTAAAGAACGCCGATTAAATCGGTAGTATATCGTCCAATGGTGGATGTAGATCCGGACACGGACACACACACACACACACACATATATATATATATATAGTGTACTGGGACAATAGATCACTATTCAAACATATATTGTTAAATATAACAGACAACGAATGTCTACTATGTTTGATCATGAGCCGTTCTAGACTTCGTATATTTGCTTTATTTTCGGGAGAAGAAAACTTTTTTATATTTCCTAAAAAACCCTGAAAGACCGCCTAAGAAAATGCATCAGAAGAACATTAAGAACTACATGACGTATTTATGATATTTGAATTTGAGCGTTTGGAAGCCTCATGATATTGATGCCGTGACAAAGTCCCGAACAGCACTCGAACTTGCATTTCCTATCTTATCTTGGCCGGTGTTACCACTGTTTGAAAAAATGCAGATACCTATATTCATATAACACACACACACACACACACACACACACACACACACATAGAGGGTGGTTAGAAAAGGAACTCCCTGTTTTATATGATGGACTTTCCCGTATTGTAAAAATTATAGTTTGACAGGAGAGTCGTCATATATAAAATAGGGAGTAACTTTTCCCTCTATATAAGATATAGAATATTGGAAACACCGATCTTTATGATACCACGGTTTCGACTAGAATGTTTTCGTTTTTTTTTTTTATCATAGTCTGGCTGCCTGAGGATACCATTCTGGGAGAAACCATGATAGAATAAATGTCTTAAATTAACCTACGTTTTTGTTTTCAAATATTGTATTGAGCAGTGTCTTTATTTAGCCGTTCCATTTGGCAAATATCACTTTTGTCATAGATAGAATTTATAAAGTATATATATATAAAGAAATGGACAAAGTCCGACAATTTATTTATTAAAGACATTTTTATGTTTAACGTTCTTTTTTTATAGATACAAGTATTTAAGTAAATGCTCTGTTTATAATAAACAGTATTAAATAACATTTACCGGCCTGAATGTCCGAGAAATTTTCATAGAAAACATTCGTCCTTTGACAGGATTCGAACCTGCATCCTATACGGAACCGTCATTTACGCTGACGTGCCTAACCTCTCGGCCACAAAGGATCGTTCGGTAGACAATTGAAGTTTATAAGCAGTAAATTCGACCTTGTCTACCGAACGATATATATATATATATATTTAAAAAATTAGGAGGCCAATTTTAAATACGCGACCACGGTTTCGACCGGGCCGTCTCTTTGGACGACACTTTTAAAATGACCACTTTAACGCTTTATTTAAAAAAAAAAAACACACACACACAGAACGCTACATAATTATCTTTCAAAAAATAACAGATGTATGATAAATGAAAAACAAGACATTGTGTGTAATGGAAAGGGAAGTGTAAAAGGAGGTGAGAGAAAGGGACAGGAATGTAAGTGTATTGTATCCCTCTCCCACCCTTACACTGTATAAACTTTTAAATGTAGCCGTCTCTTCTACTCCAATAGCTTCATATCGCACCTCTCGCCTGTGGAACACCCTTCCCAATTACTGTTTCCCTGAGAGCTATAATCTCCAACTATTCAAATGTAATGTCAATCGACATCTCCAGTTAGTTGATCTATCCACTATCCTTCTCCTCTATCACTCCTATCTGATCTTGCTCCAAATCTTCTGCAACCCTCTGCAACCCCTAGTGGCTTCACGCCTTGCTCGGGGCGTAATGCTAAAAAAATGTATACAGTGATGGGTGGGGACGTATCTAAAAGGTAACAGTGTTTTTTTTTATTTAAGATTTGTTTTTTTTTTTAACCGGATTAAGATTTTTTGGTAATTTCTCATATTAGCAGAGTTTGCAAACGCGTGTATATATGTTTTTACCTTTTTTGAAGTTTGTCCATCTTAAGACCGGGTCTCTGTTATTGTTTCCTTTTAAGTACCACACGTGTCTGGCAACTTTGGTGAAATATCTTAGGTTTCGTTGCTTAAAAGTCGATGTGTGATTGCACCATCTGCTCTTAAAAGGGCCTTTCGTGAATGTTTTAATTTGACCATTTATATTTGTTACTTCTGCTTTATAAACAATAGATTTTGTTTTACAAGCTTCAATTAATGGACATCTAATTTTATTTCTACAGTTGCATAAATTACTAGTATTATTTGGCTGCATGTTGATTTTGAGGTTTCTGTTAATTTGTCTTTTTATTATTGAATCTGAATTAGTTGCGCAGCTATAGCTTAATTTGACTGTATTTTTATTGAATATCTTATGTAGCTCTGAAATTTTGGGGAAGTGTTTAGAAAGCAACTTGAAAAATAATTTACCTATATTACATTTCATCTCTAAGGGAAAAGGAGGAAGATTAAACCAAATAATATTTTTCTTTTCCAAGAAATGGGTTTCGTATGGTGTTTATGGTGGTCGCGTATTTTAATTGACCGTCTGGTTTTTAAACTTAAAAGCTCAACATGTTATTTTTATTTTTGCTTATTTTTCAAATGTATATCGAGCACTTTTTAATACTCATGTTCCCTTGTCAGATTCAATTCTAACCATTAACCTATATATATATATATATATATATATATATATATATATATATATATATGTCTGTGTGTGCGTCTGTGTGTGTGTCTGTGTGCGTATTTGGAAATATTAACTTAAAAATAAATTTACGCAGGTTTAACTCTTTCCTAGATAATGTTTGCGAATATTTTAAGATAATATTTTAAATATTGCTCGACAGACTAGATATCTAAAAAAAAAAACCGTATTGGAATTAAGCGATTCTGGGGTAGACTTTATCCCCGTATTGATTTATACTAGAGAAAGTTATATATATATATATATATATGTGTGTGTGTGTGTGTGTGTGCGTGTGTTTGCATGTGTGTGTGTGTGTGTGTGTGTGTGTTGTGTGTGTGTTGTGTGTGTGTAAATAAATGTTATATTTGTTAAATTCAATAGATTACTTTTCCCCTGACAATCGGATCTGTGTCTGCAAAAATTCTTGTCAGAAGATAAGTCATTGAACTTTTTATTTATCGCTTCACTATATATATATATATATATATATATATATATATATATATAGCGAGAGAGTGAGAGAGAGAAAAGTGAGGAACAGATAGAGAGGGCGAAAGTAAGGAAGAGAAAAAAAAGAAAGGAAGTGGGCGCTATGTTTATTAAGACAGATCAATGGATAGACTCTCGTTGTCTATGAGATAGTAATTCACCTATTGATTGTTCTGTTGAAAGACATTTACAACGATTCCTGCAAACCACTGACCATTTCTATAGTTATGAAGGTCTGGCGAATCTGCGTGCTCTCCTCTGTATGTAGATAACACGTTGCGTGTAACTTTAAGCAGTGTGGGCGGGGGTTCGTTTTGCTTATCGCTTCTTGTTTATCACCCAGGTGCTTACCTTTTCGCGGGTACAACACATCAAACGTTTAATACGAATGGAAAACCTTCCGTTGTCCTTTTGTTCAGTTCAATTTCTCGATAGCTTTGTGCCGAAACACAAAGCTATCGAGATATCGCAAGTGCGTGTTGCCTCTACCAGAAGTGTTTGTGCGGGTAGCGTAACGGACATCGTGGAGGAAAGTGAAATCGACGAATCGAGTTCAAATTTCGGCGTCGTCAGTTACATTAAATTTCGCCCGAGAAAGGCGTAAATCCATTTTTTTTTCTCCTTCTAGCTATGGATTACATAGAAAAGTAGAATGGGTCCTCTCGCCTTGGGTGGCAGCCAATCTAAGGGAAGGAATACTCTGAATTTAGAACCGTGCAAAATGCAACGAGGAACTACTTCGCGACCTTTCCCCAGACGTCATAGCTCTTCGTAGATGATAAAAGAAAGGAAATATTTTATTCATTTACAGATTTCATTTTCGTATTACTTGTTTGTACATTTTTCTTTGATTCTAATTTGAATAAAATAATAATTAAATGAATACTCTAGAGGTATATATATAGGTCAGGGACCTATATATAGAACCCACTGGCGTAGCGGTGCTATGCCTACACTGTCTTCACCTATAAATAAAGATAATTTTAGACGAACACAAATATGCATATATATATATATATATATATATATAGATAGATAGATAGATAGATAGATAGATAGATAGATAGATAGATATATAGGGATAGTGGAAACGGCCAGATTAGTCTGTTGCATTCCCTTTGGCACAAATGCCCTTGGAAGAGGCATGAATTATTCTCATCTTCCAAGAGATGAGTAAAAATAGGAGGGTAGACTCTAGTATTTGGTGGGTAACCATTACACTCCAAAATATTAGAAAATCTCTCGGATATAAGGGGAAAGGAAAGGGAAACTATGGAGGACGCTAAGCAACTTAAATATCTGTCATTTTGTTTAAATGCCACTTAAGATCATCCGCAAATTCTTTTTTCATTTACCGTAGCTCCTTATTTGCGAATATTTTAGAGTGTAATGTATTTCAAGTTTGAACCCTTAATTTCATTTTTCCCATCGTTAATTTTTTCTGCTTGTATAAATAGAGATCCCTAAATAAAATCTTTCCACATGCCTTCACACATCCCCTAATATATATATATATATATATATATATATATATATATATATATATATATATATATATATATATATATAACAATAAAAATATTAAAAAATTAAAATCTTCAGACACACTGGGTTGTATATTAATATTCTTTCGTTTTTATTATTATTTCATTTAGATTCCTCGACTAGTTTCGGGCAGCATGGTCATCATCAGGAGAAAAAAATAATTCTGCTTGCTGGTAGCAGTCGACTGCAGAAATGAATGTCTTGATGGAGAAAATTAACTTTTGTGTGTAGTTTTCATTTGTTTTATATTTTTTTTTTTTTTTTAATATGAATTTTCGTCATATATATATATATATATATATATATATATATATATATATATATATATATATATATATAACGGGATGTATCAAAAACACTTTTTACAAACTTTGGGAGCAGGTTACTCACACCAAAACAAGGGCAAAATATAAATATACGTCCGCAAATCCTTCGTTTTTGAATTAAGTTTACGGTAGATGGAGCCGTTGTGCCATGTAGACATGGTTACATTTGTCATTCGTGTACATTTTTGTCTAGTCTGTTTTCAACGGTTAATGTGTGTATTAGTCAGCTAATTGAGAAGTATTAGCAATGGCAGGATATCGTGAGCAGGCAGATATGATGTTTAGATACCGCCGCGAGGCTGCACGGCTGCATTGGATTGCGTTTCCAGACCGAAGGCAGCCGAGTCATCAAAGCTTTGCTGCTGTTTATCGTTGCCGAGACATGATAGGCGGCACCAGCAGAAGCTATGAATCGAGGAAGACAGAGATTAGCTCGTACGCCTGAACACGAAGAACACACTCTACATAGCCTTTTTGAAATATGTTTATATGGGCATTTTACTTTGTTTTAGTGTCAGGAACCGCCCCCAAAAGTTTATACAAGTGTTTTAATATACCCTGTATATATATATATATATATATATATATATATATATATATATATATATATATATATATATATGTTCAGGGTAAAACTGGATCTTACAAATATTACTCGGCATTATATGAATGGATATATATAAAAGGTTGCAGCAGCTGGAGGCTTGTTGTCAAGACGATTAAAAAGAATGCCAAGAGAGCAGAGGTTGTTAAACCTCTGTATTCATGAACAATCTACTTCTCGATCTCTCTGCCTCCGGACTTGGGTAAATACCGAGAGCAGAGGTTGCTGTTACCTGAGGACACCAGTAGTATTTGTACAGCCAACGACGGCTTTTGCATGTAACTATTGCAACAGACGTCGCCGTTCTGTGAAGAGGCTGTCTATCTACAACAGGAGCTGCAAATCACAGACTGGAACAATTCCTTGCGAAATCACCATTGTCTTAGAAGACAGATGGAGGCCAATGTGAAGATAAGAGAGTGGTGGTGGTGGGGGGGGCTGTTGAAAAATATTACCAAATGATCTAACATAAGAAATATGTTTTTTGTATTGGATTTTGAATTGATAAATTTTCAGCACACCTATGAATATGTATATGACTTGTAGATTGTCATATATATATATATATATATATATATATATATATATATATATATATATATATATATATATATATATATATATATGAGAGTGAGAGATGGGGTAGATATGCAATCAGCTCAATCTTTCTCTCTTTTCTTTCTCTCTATATATCTAGCATGTCCTTTCGTACTCTCAGTTTCTATATATATATATATGTATAATATATGTATAAATGTCAGTATGTTGATCTCGCTATCTGTCAGTCAGTCTTGTTCTCTCTCTCTCTCTCTCTCTCTCTCTCTATATATATATATATATATATATATATATATATATATATATATACATACACACACACACACACCTAAAGTTAAATTAAAATTACTGTATGCGCTAGTTATTGATGTTAAGGATTGAGGAAGAGAGGTATTAAAGAAAGCCCAGAATATTAATCTCATGAAGACAAACGGAGGTATTAGAAGAAAACACAAGATTTTAATTTAAATTTAAAATTAAAGAAGAATTTATAAATGAAACCAAAAATAAATTTAAAAGAATTTGTAGATAAAGAGGCATAGGGGATTAACGGAAGGAGAATTAATTTTATAAATAATCATCAATATAGGATAAAAGGTTTTAGTGGGGAGGAGTAACTTAGTGTAGCTAAATAACATAAAATTCCCCTATGTGATTAGAATTAGTTTTTTGTTTTTTTATTTATTAATTTCTTATGTCGACATTTGCAAAGTTAGAGGGGATGGGTGTCGGGGAGTGATTTTGAGTAGTTCATTAAGGCAAAACTATATTATGGAATCTTGAATTTGTTTCTATGTTAACATTTGAACACTAATTCGTTCCTCTGATTCAATAGTTGGCTTTCATTATTGTGTTTTATTAATTTAATTTTTCTTCTAAGCATAAGTCACACCTACTTATAAAACTGTTCGGAGTTTTTGCTGGACCTATAATTTTCCAAACTATCTGTGGATTTAAATTTCCGCCATTCACTTCCCAAAACTTTTTTGAAAGAGCTATTTGGTGTTTAAGTTTAAAGTTAGAGAATGAGTGCTTATGAGTATAAAATCTTTGTTTCCACTCCCTCGCGGAAATTCCAATGCAAACTTTTTTATTTTCCAAATTTTCTTTGTGGGGAAATGGTCGGTTGATATACAGCCTTGGTAGCTTTGCATTTGCCTTCTACTGGATTTTGGATTTACAAATACAGGAGGGTTCAATGCCAGGTATGGTGTTGGTTTCATAGAAATTGATTAAAATTTGTTTGTTTTTTAATTTAGTAATTTTATAAATGATGTTGGTACAAGAGTAGTTAATCTTGATAATTTCCCTATTGAAAATCTTACTTAGAGGGTTACTTTTTTGGAAGTGCTTATAGATTAACTTAAGAAAATACTTACCTATATACAGTTTGCAGAAGCGGGGTTTGAAACATATCATTTTTTTTTTCCTGAGTCTACGTTCATTTCAGATATCTCGATGTTTTTTTATAGGGTTAGGTTAGAAAATTTATTTTTAAAATCACTTTTTTGGAGAGCATTTTCATATTTTTTTATTTTGAAAAAGATATTTACATTGGATGACAATTGACTAATCCTAGTGTTAACGGTGATAGGGATCTGTCTCACAATGGCCTCGGGGTGGTTAGAATTAAGATTAATATAGATGGGAGTTACATTGTCTTTATGTATGCTTTAAACGTTTTATTATTGATGTTAAATGTAATATCTAAATAATCAAATATTTTAGTTAGACGAAATCAGAATTATAAATCCTAGAAATTTTAAGGCCCTAATAAATTTCTTTTGGATCTTCGAGGTTAGGGGGTCATTACTATTGGGGATGAAAATTACTTCATTGCTCTGTATAAATAAAATACTGTCATGGGTCCTTACCTATAACTACGGAATGAACTCTTCCTAACACTATGTATACTACGCCTCTCAATAGAGAGGGACGTATCGAGTCGAACAGATAGTAGTTCACTCCAAACCAGACTGACAGTCATACTAACACCTTCCACATCTTGTATTATTATTGCGTGTAATATACCTTCGTTATTTCTACTCTTGTGTTCGTGTTGTTCTTCCTTGGTCCTAACCTGGACCATAACAAATACATAGACCTCTTTTTTGTGGATCAGTTCTAATATTTTTATATTACTAAGATCCATTTGGATTATGTAACAACGGATTTTTCTACAACTCTCTCTCTCTCTCTCACACACACACAATATATATATATATATATATATATATATATATATATAAGGAGAGGCAAAAGTCGCGCATTATGGCGATATAATTTATTAAAAGTATAATTACACTTGAAGATTTTAATTACCATTTATTTAATTGTTCTATGTGGTGTTCAAAATGGCCTTCTCTTCTTTCAAAACACATATCAATTCTGTGCCTGTTTCATTAACACGTCGGAGTTTCCTCTGTCATTTAGCTGCATTCATATTTAATTCTTTCATTAAGTTCATCATTATATCTTGATAAACAATTGATTTCAAAAGGCCCTACAGAAAAAAGAAATGGGTGTGAGATCAGGGGACAACGGTGGCCACTCAACAGAACCTCTTCGCCTTCTTCATTAACCCTACGGCGCAGGACTTTTGACTCTCCCTGTACTTGATATTGCCAATATCTTAACTTTAATACACACACAGACACACACACGCATATATATATATATATATATATATATATATATATATATATATATATATATATATATATATATTCTATTTCAAAATAGAAACAGATCCAAGAGCACATAGAGGTCACTAAAACATTAAAAGATTAAATGCCGATAACTACTCGCTGGACAAACCTTAATTGTTTTATGACCCTTCACGCAGAACTCTTCATTGACAATTCTAGAAAGAAAATTCGGATTGCCCAACACACAAACAGAATGTCTCATATCGAGAATATTCCACATTGAACATGAAGAAAAATTAATTATTTTTAATAATATGTAAAAAATCTCCACTTTCACCTGAAGACGGTTGCGAGACCAGACCAGAAACACGTGTCGTGAAATTATGTAAAACAAAGTATAATATTTTTTCTCAATAAATCCACATTACAACCAAAAACGTTTATGGCACCCTCTTCTTTTTTTTTATATATATATATATATATATATATATATATGTGTGTGTGTGTGTATGCGTGTGTGTATGCGTGTGTGTGTGTGCGTGTGTATGTACATGCATTACTTCAAACGTTATAATAGTAGATATTAAAGTAATAAAATGCTGGATTAAAAATAAAACTATTAAATCTTTAGAAATACATATATGTATACATATATATGTATGTATGAATGTATATATATATATATATATAGATAGATAAATAGATTGATAGGTAGATAGATAGATATTTATGTGTGTATATATATATATATATATATATATATATATATATATATATATATAATAAGAATACACAATATATATATATATATATATATATATATATATATATATATATATATATTGTGTATTTCTTGTTCTCTTTATCTGCGCTTCCTTTTTTAAATCACTATTCAATCCTTTCATTACTCTAGAATCTGTGGTGATGGAACCCCGTCCACTATTTCTAGTAGGAAATACGTAACGAACTCCTTCGGCTTGCAAGCCACCCTGACACACACCCAACTGTGCTTGTTGGCATAGATATCAAGTGAACATTGCAAAACTTGGGGATTTCTCTTCATTTTCTCTGATACATCCGTCTGTGTATCACTGATAAGCGTTTCCCCCACTCCCTCTATCTCTTTCTCTAACTCTCACTCTCTCTCTCTCTCTCTCTCTTTCTCTATTGCTCTCTCATTTTCATTCACCAACGCCATCTGTCTGCTGGAGACAAATACGTAATACAGCCAAAAAGGGAAGCCCTGACGTTCAATGCTCTAGCGTAAAACCATTGTCGTCACAGCATCGTGCTGGCTGGAAGATACCTGCATTGCATGTAAAGCTGGGAATGCCACCTGCGTGGGCAGACATGATCTCCTCTCACTTCTCCTCCTCCTCCTCCTTTTTCTTTTCCTCTTGATTATCACTTTTCTCTCTTCTTCACTTCACCTGTTGCTCTCCTCTCTGTACGGGGAGCTTTTCTTTCTTGTCTTGTTTTACCTTGACCTTTCTTTTCATCGTCCATTTTTTTCTTTCCATATTACATCTTTCTTTCGTTCTTTCTTTAGTTCTTTTTTTTTTCACTTGTTCAATATTTTCTTCTTGGGTTCTTTCCTATTTTCTCTTTCTTCCTTTTTCCTTTCCTCATTTTTTTTTCGTTTATTCTTTCACTAATTCAATCAATTTTTAATTCATTCATTTTTCCTTCTTTCTTCCCTTTCTTTCTTTCTTTCGAATGTTCAATAGTCTCTTCTTGGGCTTTCCGTCTTTTCTTTCGTATTTTGTCTTTCATTCTTTCTTTCTTTCTTTCACTAGTTCAATCAATTTTTAATTTAAGATTTCTTTCTGTCTCCTTTTCACACTATCTTCTTTCTTTCTTTCTTTGTTTTTTTCACCTTTTCAATCATCTTTTCTTTCTTTCTTGTGGCCATTTGGCAGCATTTCATCCCTTTCTATACTGATTCTTTCTTTCTTTCTCTTTCACTTTCTTCTTATCTTACATTTATTGTTTTTTTTTTTTGTTACTTTTTTCTTACCTGACTTCCTTCTCTTCTTTTGTTCATTCTCTTTATCTTTTTCATCTTTCCTCATTTTCTTTCTCGCATTAATCTTTCATGATATTCATCATTAACTTATCCCCTTTTATTTTCTCTATTTTTACAAGAATAATCGACTAAAATATTTTTCTGCCTGTCTTTTTTCGACATTCAGAGCCGATTTTTTTTTAAATATGAAATTGCGTGTCATAAATCTGAATTTATTGATGGTCCTAGGATCAATAATCTTAATGCGTTTTACAATTTTCTTTGATGCCTTTTTCTTTTCTTTCTATTTTTCCTTGCTACCCGTTTGTCCCAATTCAGACACCGTCAAAAGCAACTTGGTATGTAAAGTACAAGCTTTGTTTTTTAGTAAAAGTAAATCCGAAATTATGTTGCTCATTAATATATATATATATATATATATATATATATATATATATATATATATATATATATATATATATTGCGAAATAGTCTGTTTCTTTTTTCTTTCTTTCTTAACTGTTGACATTTTCTCTTTTCTCTTCTTTTTTCATTAATTCGTTTTTCCTTCTCTTTTTTTTGTGTTGGTAACATTATCATTCGTCAAGGCATTTCTTCTTTCTTCGCTGTTCTCTATTTCTTATTAATAAAATTTTTCATTTTTTTATTAACTTTTTCTTTCACGCGATGCTAAAAGCCTTATCATTGCAATTGACTATCGCTGTTATTTTATGTTAAATTCAAAAATAAATAAATGCAGCAATTTTTAATAACATAGAATAAAAAAAGTGGTTTGGTTTAATTTGTTTTACGGCATCTCAACATCAATGGGTTAAATAAGATTTTTATTGCTGGTAATATTTTTTCCTCAAAATGTATTGCCGTAATATTTTTTTCAGAAATGTATTGCTGGTAATATTTTTTTCAAAAATGTATTACTGGTAATACTTTTTTCAAAAATGTATTGCTGGTAATATTTTTTTCAAAAATGTATTACTGGTAATATTTTTTTCAAAAATGTATTGCTGGTAATATTTTTTTCAAAAATGTATTACTGGTAATATTTTTTTCAAAAATGTATTGCTGGTAATATTTTTTCCTCAAAAATGTATTGCTGGTAATATTTTTTTCAAAAATGTATTGCTGCTAATATTTTTTTTCAAAAATGTATTGCTGGCAATATTTTTTTTCAAAAATGTATTGCTGGCAATATTTTTTCCAAAAACGTATTGTTAGTAATAATATATTTCTACTAATAATTTCTTCAAATATTCATTGCCGGTAATAATTCTTTACAAAAATATCTTGCTGGTATTAAAACCTATTTTTACACTTTCATAGAGTCACAGCTGGAACCCTAACATGTGCTACCACCCCGGATCAGGATGGATCTGGGAACAGCAGCAATTAAGAAGTCGTTCCACGCTCGTCAAAATCTCCTTGCTGTTGGATGTAGTTTATCGTCATACCCAAGACGAAAAAGAAAAAAATGTGGTGTTCAAAACGCCAGAGACGGGCGCGTAAAGACGCGTTGGTTGAAAAATATGACAACAAGAATCGACGCGAAAAATGCTGAAGCGACGCAACGTTTACCTTTGGAAATCTTCTAATTAATTCACAAAAAATATTTTATAACGGCTTATAAGGGCACACGAAAGACAATGGAAAATTTATGGTCGAATTCTCCCACCGGAAACAAGTAATCGAAAAATTTAATAAATAGAAATCGCTAACTTTACCTGGACTTCAACCAAACCTGCATGAATGTAAAATTGCTGTCCAAATACACCCAATATATATATATATATATATATATATATATATATATAGTTGGATTGATGTGAAACCCAGGGTCACAAACTCACATCAATCCAACTAAATGTATTAACTCTATCATTGATATTAAACGCTTTCCAATAAGTACGTTGCATATATAATATATAAATAGTATATATAATAAATTGCATATATATATATATATATATATATATATATATATATATATATATATATATATATATATATGAAATGTATGTATATAAATTTATGTATATATATATATATATATATATATATATACACACACACACACACACATATATATATATATATATATATATATATATATATATATATATACATTTCACATACACACAAAAACACATATATATATATATATATATATATATATATATATATATATATATATATATATATATAGGTAACTACATTGGTCTCAGAAAACCCTCGGTTTCTTGATTTGCTAATGGTCAAATCAATCTCGATGGAAAAAAAAAAGGTTTTAAAAAAGAAAGAGCTATGAACATGAACGTCTGTCGAAAATAATCGTACAGCATAGTATAATATATATATATATATATATATATATATATATATATATATATATATATATATATATATATATATATATATTTGAGGAATCGGAGAACTGAGTTCGAATTCCAGACGAATCCTTTACATTCACTTACGGGATAATACCTTTGGGACAGGTATGAATCCTATTCTTCTCCCCGCCCCCACCTATGGTTAAATAACAGGACAGATTGGGTTCTATAATCTTGGAGGGCAACTGGTCTACAGCAGAAAGAAATGTGAATCTGCCTCGTCAGTCATCTATCAAAAGATACATGATTGCCTAAGCGTGTATCACGCGTGGCACATAACTGACTGATTTATTTATTTTCGTCTACGGGCCTGAATATTCGAGAAATGTTATTAAAGAAAAATATAGGACAGGAGAAAATGGTTGTCTCATCAGCATAAATATCAAGTTAAAAGTTGATGTCATTGGGAACGTCGTTGATGAAAATTTTAAATAAAGTAGATACAAGACTAAAATTCTGAGAACACTTTCCTTAGTAGAAAAAGATCTAGAGGAGTGGCCATTAATGATAACTTTTATTTCCCGATTAGCTAAGAAATATTGAATTGGTTACAAAATTCGTAGCCTTTCAACTTGTGGAGAAAACCAGCATACCAAACCCTATCAATCGCTTTCGAGATGTCCAAAGCAACAGCCCGAGCATCTCCAGTTTTATCTAAAGCTTCATAAAATCTTTCAGTAATAATCGTTAGTACATCAGCAGTTGACATAGAAAAGCGAAAGCCATATTGTTTATCTAAAGGATGGCACCATGAAGTGCTTAAAAATTCGGAGTTAAATAGGGGCCCTAGTCGTTCACCAAAAATAGGTATAATGCTAACAGGTAGTTCGAAGGATCAGACGGTTCAACTGATTTCTTAAAAACTGGGACAGCAGATGAGCAAGAGGCAGCGAGGCATTTATTGTATAGTTTAGAGAGAACAGGAGCCAGTTCCGGAGCATATTTCTTGAGGACTATTACATGGATACCACCAGGTACATATGATTTGTAGGGATACAGATTTGAGGTCACAAAAGAAACCATGAAAGGAGTCATAAGCATATCATACTTATTTTCAATTCAAACAAGCGGGCTTTATCGACATTGGCGGTTGGCGCAACTCAATCTTCTTTCTACCATTCATTAATACTTGACAGTGTAAAAATATACGACAATGAGTTTCATAATTATGAAGACTAAAAGTGTTAAAGAAAAAATAATTCCTAGGTTGACGCGTTGAACACATAATCCTGTTTCATAAGATGAATTCATGACACTGGGTAGACGAGATGGACACATAACCCTTGGTTGACGAGATGGAATCTTGTTTGGAAAGATGGACATTTTCTCCTGAAGAGAAATACAGTATGTAAATTTTTAGCGTTCATTTCCTGTACGGATAACAGGTGATCTTTTCTTCATTTCCCCCTTAGTTTCCTTTCATATCCACCCTCCACTCTCTGATTCCTCTTCCAGAACATCTTTTCTTTCAACTTTCACCGTCAAGTATCACTGGCAGTAACGAAGAAAAAACAGTAAGGTCAACCAATGTGGCATACCAGTATCGAGAGTCAATATATCTAAAGGTATAATCGAGAAAGAGAGAAAGAGAAAGAGAAGGGGGAGAGAAATAGAAGGAGATACAGAAGAGAGAGAAAGAAAGAGAAAGAGAAAGAAAAAAGAAAAAGAAAGAAAGAAAGAAAGAGGTTTGTTCTTTACCTGATTGTTTTAAGAAATATGCACAGCTTTAATGCTAACTTTGCTGCTACTATTTTTGAGCCAATAAAACTTATGCATTTTCTTCTTTCAGGACGTAGGCGATCGTGGCTCTTCACAACTTACTATCCTTTGTAGCACTAAGTAATGTTTGTTTTCTGGCTATCTACCGCCATACCTATTCTAACATCCATTTTGACCAAGCACCTTAGATCGATTACTCGATGTTTATCTCTGCACTTCTTGCTTTCAGTATGATCTGTGAGTATCAAAATCTCCAAGCCCTCTTTCCTCATTCTGTGTTCCAGAAATTTCAACTGATTTTTTTCTGATTCTAATTACGAGGGTCCTCTGTATTTCTATGGTCCTTAAAACTTTCTCGTTGCTCAAATATTTCTATCCGTGCTATTCTAAGCATCATTGCGTTTGACAACATCTCTTTTTACCTCTATTGATTGATTCGTTTTCTATGGCTTATCAACCCTTTACAGGTTATTTAAAGCCAGAAAATATTTTTTTTAATTATAATAATTATTTTTTTAGATAATAATTATTTAGTGAAACAAGTCTTAGTAATTGACCCCATAGATGGGGAGAGAAGAGGTTAATTCACACCTTTACCAAAGGTATTTGTGTGTAAGTGAATATAACGAAATGGAATTGGAACTCTGCTCTCCGATTAACAATTCCGGACCGATATCATTACCCCATTTGCACATCCAGGCTTTCGGCACCTGGTATTCTATAGCTAGGAATTTTAGAACAAAAAATTATAAAAGTGTAGAATTTTAAATATCTGAAAAGAATTTTAAGCCGAGGATGAATAAAATCAACTCAAAATCCGCCATGCAATGTCAATTCTCTTCCATGGCAGTGAATGATGGGCAGTTTCCTCACAGATGAAGAGAAGTATTGAGAACACATAAATATGCTCCAATTGTTATTGAAAATACTATGGACATAGCGTGCAAATATGGAGGCCAGGTGGATAACGGCTCGGATTGAGGAATCGGAAAGCCGAGTTCGAATTCCAGTCGAATCCATTACAGTCACTTACGTGCTAATACCCTTGGAAAAGGTATGAAACTCCCCCCCCCAGCTATGGAGGAATAGCAGAACAGACCGGGTTCTATAGCCTTGGATGGCAACTGGTCTACCGCAGAAAGAAACGGCAACCTGCTGCGGAAAAAAATCTACCTCGAAAGATACATGATCGCCTACGCGTGTGTTACGCATGGCACATAAATGAATGGTAATATTTGATGTTTTCTTATAAGGAAACATTCGTTAGTCATTGACCAAGCAGCCAGTACTTCTGCTTGTTGAAAGTCATAAAATCTTTGTCTTAAAAACTTTGTCAGTAAAAATAGGTTTTTCAAGTCCAGTAACTGTTATCGCTCTTTCTAGTACTGATGAGGGTTTCCTTCCTAAGCATTTTTTTTGAAGTAATGTGGAACGTCAACATCTTCATGATACCATTATGTTCTCTACGGGTTACATGTGATATCCATTTGCTGCTGGTGAAAGTTATCAAGTGACGCATTTTCTGTTATTAGATACAGTTCTTTGTTTGTGATTATGTAGCGCCAATCTACAATGTTCGAAGAAGAATGGTCTTTGCCAACATCCACAGGCATCACTAATTCAAAGTCATTTTTAACCATTGAGCTTTGGAAGCGGTTGTATACAGCTGACAGATAAATTAGATATTTCTACCTTTATGCATCCATATAAAAAATTTTGATCTGACATGGCTATTGAAGAACATGACACGAGTTTTCAGGTTAATGTTTTGGTTTTATCGGTGTTTGTGGTGTTCTGAGAGCCTGCCTCTAGCGTAGTCTATTCTATATTCAATTTATTATTTTCTACACTAAATTTGTTATAACTGATTCATATATTGAGTTATTTGAAATGGTATTTATTAATTTTACGTACTGCGTTTTATGATGGATTCAGGTTAAGTGTCATTGCTTTCATTCCAATTCCAGAAACTTTTGGAACTGTTTATTTTGGGTCGTATTTCTTGGAATGCTTGATAGAAGTTGTTGTTTATTTGTTCAAGATTATGCTTGTCCCAACTATATCATCACCATAGACTCCCTCATCATTAATACATTGGCCTTAAGAAAGAAAGCAGGATCGCTCGCTTCAATTAGTTGATACGTTTGGGATGTAGAGTGCTTAAATGGTCATGTGTGTTTGTAAATGCGCAGGGCATAGTCTTGGAAAAGATTAAATCAACTGGAGGCTCTCATTTTCACATTGCCGTCCTGCTGATGAGATTTTAAATGTTTCTCTACTGTGGGTCCTCGCCAGACGTGTCAGTTTTGTGAACCGAAAAAATTCTTAAAGATCGATGTAGTCACTGAATTCTGTGCTAGGGAGGCGGGTTTTAATGGCTGAAAAGGAAGGCTCGGTTGGTGTCGTGATATTCAGCTATGTGCTCAACAGCAGGTATAAAATTTCCTATTAGAGACGTATGCAATTTCCTGCATGTATGTGCAGTTTTAAACGCTTGGAAGCAATCTTGTCTAAAGATGGTAGCTGCAACTCGGAAATCCGCAGACATGGCAGCGATGACCAAATTGTGAAGAATATGAAGGAGGAAAATCAGCTTTCAAACGAAGTACAGACTGTACACATCGCTGGCAGTCTCCTTATATGGATGTAAATCGTAGAAACTGTTGGCAGAAACAGAGAGAAGGATCCAAGCGTTTGAGAACAAATGCACGAGGAAACTCCTTGGCCTCTTCTATTGGAAATATAAGACTAATGAGTTTATGCAGAAAAGGGTTGAATGTTTTGTGGGCCACCAGGAACCTCTTCTCGTCACTGTCAAACAGAGACAAATGGCATGTTTTGGAAACGTTTTCAAGGCCTGCACAAGACCATCATGCAAGGAGCTGTTGACGTTGGACGTAGGAGAGAACGCCAACGCAAAAAAACGGGTTGGACAATGTCAAACAATGGGCAAGTATGACTATGCCAGAGTTGCTGATGGCTGCCGTTGAGAGACCGTTGGGGAGGAGATTCAGTGTGGCTTCTGCATTCGGATCCACCCTACGATTACAAAAAGTCAAGGGGATGATGATGATGTTGGTGATGATGATGATGGTGGTGGTGGTGGTGATGATGATGATGATAGTGATGGTGGTGATGGTGATGATGATGATGATGATGGT